GATTGGAGACACCTGTCAAGCAATCATTGCTAAAAATTTTAATAAAACAAAGAAAGAATATGGGGAAAAAGAAGAGATATAAACAATAGAATAGCACAGAACCTAGAAAATAAACTTATTTATACATAAAGAAGCATAAACTGTGAAGCGTTTAGCATCTCCACATAAGAGAAAGAGAAGGGCTGTTTACACAATTATTTTGAGAAGGCAGTTTTGTAAAAAGATGTTCAGACATTTGGAACAAATGACGCATGCCCGTACCACATTCCAAAATCAACTCCTGGTGGATGGAGGCGTGAAATACAGAGAAGAGCAACACACAACGGAATCGAATATTTATAAGTGTTCTGAGGGATAATATCTTTCTCAGGTTCAAAGCAGCCAGGAAATGAAAATGGAAAGATTGACACTTGGAGGTGCGTGCCCGTTTAAAAGGTCTGTCCAGTGGATGGGAGAGAATCTCAGATTTAAAATGAAATGGAGAAGAACAGTTTGGGATTCATTTGCCTGAAATATGACAAGTAAACAGTTAATTTCAGCATTACCGAAAAACTACTCACAGTTATCGGAGAAACAATTTTCTCATGCACAATGTGGTGAGAGACGCACAAGAATTATAGTAACTTGAGAGTCAGTTTGAAAGGGCAATGACGTGTCTCTGCTTAAATCCTCCCCAGAAAGCTTGTGGGAGCTGCTGGGGGCTTAACAAGAAGGGTCCTGCCCCTTGGGGGGCAATTTCTGTTGTGGAAGGAAGTGTTCCCAGCCCCCAGCAGCTGCCTCCATGTCCCAGGGCTGGAAGATCAGAGAGGCCCCTTCCGAGGGAAAGGCCCTGGCTACGGGTGGATGGCAAGGATTATTTTTCAGTTAACAAAGGTTAATCCGGTTAACTTTTTCTGTAGCACTCAGAATTTACTGTGGTGCCATTGGTTACCAGGGATGGCCAGTGGTCAAGCTTGCAGACTCATCTCAAATTCTGCTTCAAACTCACCCAACACCGAGCTGCTGGAATAATTGAAAAGGGCTCCTGTGTCCATGCCATCCAACTTCGTCCCCCAGCTCTTTCTTCTACCATACCCTCACCCTGCTGACCGCTCACTTAATTTTTTTGGGGTAGATTTATGTGTATGATTTTAATTGAAATTTTATTCAAACAAAAATAGACTCCTGTCCCTTCTGTCATCTTCCTGTTTCTCAATAACAAGAACTATGTTGCCTTGGCTCCCACATTTTCCACTGACTTTCTGCTATAAAAGATGGAAGATTTAACCTTCTTATGGTACCCACGCCTCATTGCACCTTCTGCCCCTTCCTGTATAGTTATACAGGATCCGGCCACGTGTGTGTGATGATGTCACACGGCGGAGCCACAGTACGCAGTGCTGCATTCCGTTTCTTGGAGGACTTCTGTTTTGTTTCTGTAGTTATAGTTGTTTTACTTTTTTTCCACAAGCTTGGTTTTCCCCGTCTCTCAGTGAACAATCCCAAGTCTTTTGAAACAATGCTTAAAATAATCTCCCTGCATTCAAACAACTAGGCAAACAACTCAGTCCCAGGACTGAGGGATGGCTGATCTCCTGGCCTGCCCCACAGCCGTCACCTGGGGCCACCCCTTATTATCTTTATGGGATCTGCCTTCACTACTCTCCTGCTTTTTCTCATGTCACCTCTTTGTCCCCCTGGAGCCCAGGCTTGAGCAGCATCCTGAGAACAGGTGGCAGGGAAGGAGGGCCGTGGAGACCCCACGTGGCTTACCACCTACTCTGCGCTTGCTCCCGGCTCAGAGCGTGCTGTGGCCCACTGAGAACTCCTCAGGCCGAAAATGGTTCACTCTCCAAACGATCTGGGCATTGCTCTCTGGTCTTCTGGCTCTCGATGTTGCTATGCAGAAATCCGAGGCCAGCATTTGATCTGCATTTTCTCTCACGACACTTTTAGGGTTTGTTGTGCGTCTAAGCTGTTTTGAACTTTTATGTTTGGATCTTTTGATGTGGGTCTGGTTTTCTTTGCTTCTCGTGAATCCCGTCGTCACTGCGTGGGATCTCGTAACCTGAAAGCGCGAGTCCTGCGGTCCTGCAAAATGTTCTTGTCCCCGTTTTGATGATTTTCTCCTTTGTTCTCTCTGATAGTCCTATTAATGAAGGTCAAACCCATTGGACGGAGCTGATCTTTTTGATCTTCCTTCTCCTATTTTCATCTCTCCCCACCCCCCATTTTTCAAAAGGTTTCCTCCGTTCTGTCTTCCAAACCTTTACCGAATTATTTATTCCCACCTAATTTTTAACTTCCAAAATTCATTTTTACTCCAATTACTACCACAACAGAGCGATTTGTTCTTCTTTTGTAAACAGAATGACTTGCAGCTCTCCATGACCTAGGCCAGTCACAGTCCTGAAGACGCCAGGCTGCTTCCTCTCAGTGCCTTTCTGTGGCCAGTGTCGTCCTATGGGTCAGTGTCCAGCTCACTTACGACAGAGACGCTGAGACACCCATCAAGGGCCCTTGTCTCACCTTCCTTATTTTCGAGCAAGAAACAGCTTTGTGACAAAGGACATGGCTTTACCACAGGACACGGGTAACAGCAAATGAGCAGAACCTGATCACTGTGGGGTGCCCACCTACTGTGAGGTCTACTGGCCTCTCTCCTGAGCCAGGCAGTGTCCTCCAGATGGACCCTGCAGGGTCTGAGGCCCCGGGGCACAGCGAGGCTGCAGAGCCTCTGCACAGAGCAGGCGTCCCCTGTGCTAGGCCACCTCCGTGAACTAGAGCTCCCGAGTCCTGGCAGGCAGGGAAGGGCACTCTCTGGCTCCGCAGAGCTGGACAAGGACGAGAAGAGAGAACTGCGGCTCTCCCACTAGAGTCCACCTCCGTGCACGGGAAACATCTGCGCCTTCAATTCTGGGGTCTCTGGGGTGCTGGTCAGGCTGTGCCCTCCTGCCTTTCCCTTCTCCTAAGGAGCTAGGGCTCAGATTCCCCAGTATTTCTTCCCCGCTGTCTCCTAACCTGCTTAGCTTTCCTTACGGGTTGCCATTTTCTCTGTCCCTTTAATTTTAATAGTTTCAGAGGGGATCAGATGTGAATGATGAGTTCATGCTGCTGTGTGACACCATGCAGCAATCCTGAGCAGTCCTCCCAGAGCACACGACGAGCGCTCTTGCTGCCTGGTCCACCCTGACTCCTTGTCTCTTCCATTTCTAACCCTTAACTGTCCTTCAAGATGGAGGCCAAGCATCATCTTAAGCAGGAGATGCTCAGATGCTCCCCGCACATTGCGTATATCTCCAGTGGGGCCCACGTCACCGGTCATCTTGTGTTGAGTGGGTCTGCTGGCACCTCTGTCCCCCTCCCCAGACAGGCAGCGAGCAGGCCCTGACCCGAGGCTCAGCTACCGCTCTACTGCGACCCAGGGGAAAACCCAGCCGGCACATAGTAGGTGCTCACTAATATTTGTTCAATTTACCCATTTACCGTTGCCACGTTGGAGGCAATTTCATTCTCAGAGGAAAAAAAATGGCCACGTCTATTTGCCAACATCCAAATAAGAAAGGCTAATCAGAGAACACCAGGAAATGAAAACATCCAGATGTTTTTCAGAGCACAAATCCAGGAACACAGAATAGCTTGCAACAGGGGTGATGTATATTTTCCTGGTGATTCCAAACGAATGTATGCTTATTAGGCAGAGAGAGAGAGACTTAACAGGTTTCTCAGCTAATGCTGCAATTTTAAATCCATTTAAGATAATTTTCTTTATCTTGAATTTATTTTTCTCAGTAACCAGGATACTTAACTGATTTGCACAAAATCCATTTGAAAAGGAAATAATCTTCTCCAAGCAAGGGCACACTCTAAATGGAAAAAAGAGACACTACCAATCTAACAGAAAATGGAGACTCTGTTTGAGAAGCTAGGCTAGAGTCTCACCCGGAAAACAGGGGCTTTTCCCCAGCAACTAGAGTCTACATGCAAACTTCCTCTACTGCACAAAGAAAATGCTTCCTACATTTTAGAGCACCAAACAAAAACCTCCCATGAGGTTTTTGTTTTTAACTTTCCTTATGGTTGCCATTTTCTCTGCCAAGATGCAGCCAAACCTTTTAAAAGTCAAGAATTTCAAACCCCCCAAAAAGTGTAATTTGAAACAATAACAGGATGTGCTGTCTTGCTTATCGACCTGGAAAAGCATTTCTAAAATGCTCGTGCACAGGGGCTGGGGTTGTGGCTCAGTGGTAGGATGCTTGCTTCGTACACATGGAGCACTGGGTTCGATCCTCAGCACCACATAAATAAATAAAATAAAGGTATTGTGTCCATCTACAACTAAAATTTTTTTTAAAGTTTATTGACAACTAAAAAAATTTTTTTAATGCTCATTTACAGTATTAGAATGCTTTACAAAATTCCAGTAAAAGTAGAAATTGCTATAAAGTTTTTGGAGGAAAATAATACAGTATACACCCAGAGCCTCCAAAACCATTCCTACTGTGACATAAGGATTATACCTTCAGAAATGTGGATTAAGAAGATAAATACCAAATCCATACACATAGAGCTGTGAATGAGGAAAACGTTTGTGTTACACAGAACAAAGAAAAATGGAAAATAACCTAAATTTCCAACCATGGAAATAATTTCCATAATTAATAACATTCCCCAAATGCTCATGATACGACGTCCAGTAAAAACATGATAAAAACAATACATCATAGGCTCAAAACCTGTACAGAAAGCAGACTCAGAGTTGACACACTCCACTCCGACGTTTAGGTAGGGGTAATGGTGACATCTAAAACGTCACGCGTCTGTCGGGAGGACCTCCCTGTGTGTTTCCGGATCACATTTCCATTTCACTTTTTTTGGTGAGTATTTCACAAGCAGCAGGAGTCCTCCGCTGAGGGACTGGAGGAGACTTACCAGTTACAACGCCCCAGAGGAAAAGTCCCAGACCCGGTGTCCAGCCCAGCCCGAGACCCAGCTAGCCCTCAGGAGGAGCCAGGACTTACTTGGTGGGACGATAATCCGGGATGGAACGGTCCAGCGAGATCTTTTCACTGAGGTAGGAATTGTAGCCGTACTTCTCGTGGGGACCCTTGGCCTTTTCCTCTTCGGCCGGGGAAAGGGTAGCAGGAAGGCCCCCTTTGCCCCGCCCACCGTAACCTTCAATGAGCCCCAGGGATTTGGATAAGCCTAGAAAACAGGGAGAAAGAGAATTATTTGAAAAACCACCAACCAGGACATGCCGATCTCAGATGGAGACTCAGTAGAGAAGTTTAACATCAGCTGTCATAGAGAAAAATCACGGCCCTGATGTCCAGATCCCGGTCAGTGCCCTGAAGGCCCTTGTGTACAGAGGTCGCTGGGCCAGGCTGGTCTGGGGTCCAAGGCTGGCTTCCAGGTAGGAGTGACTCCCTCCTCCTGGGAACTCCAGTGGAACGGGTCAACAGAAGGAGAGTCCCCTGAACTGGGAGACCAGGGCCAGAGGGACCTGGGAAGGGTGGACTAGGCCTGTCCCTGCCTGGTGTCCTCCCTGGGGGGCTGTCACAGCAGGACTGCATCTGCTGGAAGGAACCCACCCAGCACAGACCCAGAGAGCCAAGGGCAGGTAGCTGACGAGCTGCAGGGATTCTGTCTCATGTGCACCAAGAGCAACACGCAGATTGATTTTATCACGAGTTCAGAGTGTGTAACGGCCTGACACAGCTCTTTACCTAATGGCTTTATTTAAATTTCATCTAATGGCAAAAGGAAATACAAAATGTCTGAGAATAAATCACAGAGAAGAAAAGAAGCCACAAGGGCGATAACCGTGCTGAGTGGAAAGCCCCAGAAAGGAGCCTCCCCAGAGGCGGGGAGCCCCCAGGGAGCCCCCAGGGAACCTGGCCCCCTTGAGCCACGTAGGGTAGACAGTGGGATGGCCACGTATAGACCCCAGAGTTAGGAGAGGCTCTGCTGCTTGGCTAGGAAACGTCTGCCCCTAGGCACCATTCCCCCATGGCCATTCCAGATCTCAAGCGACTCAGGGCATGCACAGGTACACACATGTGCACACACACACACACACACACACACGCACAAGCACACTCCTCCATCTCCGGTATCCGTCCTTTCCTTCCCACCATGACACAGGAATGGGGACCAGGGATGTGAGCAGCTCCCCCAGCCTCCGTGGAGGGAAACCGGCCCCAGGCAGGACTCCGGAGCCAGGGCACGTGCCAGTCAGTCTGCCCCAGTCACACCCGGGTCTCTGTCACACCATGGCAAAGTCCTACTCTCTTTCCCGCTTCTCTGAAAATGGAAATGGATTTTCTATGATGTCAGGAAAAGCAAAGGCCAGGCCAGCAGCTCAGCCCAACCCCAGGACACCATTCTCTTCCTGGGAACCACCTCCACCCTCCACGTGTCCCGTAGGAGGCCCAGCCTCCTCCCCCCCGCCCTCCCGGCAGGCACCCCTTCAACCGAGAGCAGGTTGCCCCAGAGCCCCTGCCCGTTTCCTTGCTGCCGCCTCACACCCCACGTCAGTGTGTGACAATAGTCCAAGAGCATCGTGTTGACCATGCTCAAAACTCCTGCCATGTCCAGGACCGACGTGGGGCCAGGCTCACCTCCAACTCACAGCAGAACAGGACTAGTGGGGGTGCAGAGAGGGTGGACCCTTGGAGAGGAGCTTGCAGCTGTCCACCATGCCAGGCACCAGCCGACCCAGCAGTGCCCCCTGGGCACACGTCCAAGCACGATGTTCACAGGAAACCTGTGCATGATGTTCACGGCAGCCTTAGTCCTACTGACCAATGCCGTCCGCTGATGGACGGGTAGACAAGATGTGCTAGGCGCACAGAGGGGGCCACTTGGCAACAAAAAGAAAAAGGAAGTAGCGTTCCATGATGGCACATTGGTGAGCCTTGAAAGCACCTCAAGTATACAAAGCTAGTCACGAGCGCACACGTACAAGGTTCTGCTTCTGGGCCACCTATGAATCCGTAAGAAAAACCATGTGGCAGCGGCTGCTGAGGGCTGGGGGACCCATGTAGGAGGCGGAGCATGACAGGTTTGTTTCTGAGCTGACGGGGATGTCCTGGGGTGAGCCTGTGGTGATGGCTGCAAAACCCTGTGAATACACTGAAACCCATGAAGCTGCACACGTTAAAAGAGAGGGAGGATGCGGGTTCCATAAAACCCCTCAATAAAGTCATTAAAAACCCTCTATGATTGACAACTCTGTTTCTAGCAAGATCAGACACCATAAAGACTTTCCAGTAAAACACAGAAATGTTCAATAAAGGAATATTGAACCGTGTGACCTACACAGCCGCGGGGGTGGGAGGGACGATCCCGAGGTAAGCTCACATTAGGACGGAGGCCGCGGCTGCTGAGCTGAGACCCGGGGCTGTTGCTCGTGGGTTAAGCTGTTTAGAGCTCAAGCCCACAGGTGAGAGACTCTGGTGTCTGTAGAAGTGGGACTGAATGGGAACAGCTGTCAACTGCTGGGCCCTTGGATGGAATGGCCTGGAAGAAAGGTGAGATTGTTTAAAAATAAACCCAAAGACAGCGCAGCGACATAACCAAGGAGATGGTCTCTAAATGTGCCCGATGGGGAGGAAGAGAAGACCCCCGAACCTGGGCCTGCTGGGCTGGAGTCTGACTCCACCAGGCCACACAGGAGCCCCGAAAGCCCTGCAGAAGGTGTCACCGCCCGGAACCACACATGCGGGTTAGAAGGGACCCATCACGTAGAAACAGATACAGAATCCCAGGACTCATAACTTTAGGTGAAACGACATGACAAGGGTGGGCCATAAAACAGTGTGGTTTAAAAAGGATTCAAGTCCTAAAGGAGAACAAGGCACTAGGAAATCCCACCCGGCAAGTCTGGAAAACATCGAGCGGATAAAAACTTCTATAAAAGAAAAATTGTATAATGGAATGAAAAATTTAACGCATCCAGAAGAACGTAAAAATCTCAATCAGGTGTAATTGAAGAGTCAACCCTGGAAGTGGAGAGTATATCTATGGACCCAGAGGCCGGGGGGACAGTGAGCACAATGCCACGGGAGGAAGAGGAAGGAGCGGTTGTCTCCTGGCACGATGTGGCGGCCACTTCAAATAGAATAGGGGATTTCAAACGTCCTCACAGCACATGAATGATCAGCACACTGCTCCCCATCCCAGCAGTAGCCCCAGGACGGACACATGGCCTCGACCCCCACAGAGGAGAAGCCACTGCAACCCTATGGAACCAGCTAACCCACTGCTCCTGGCTCAGGCACAGAACAGAACACGAAGGGCGTGGTTCACCACCATGGAGCGCTCTGCAGACATTCACCACCATGGGGCGCTCTGCAGACATTCACCACCATGGGGTGCTCTGCAGACATTCACCACCGTGGGGCGCTCTGCAGTCCAAGGTCTTCTGGACCCAGGAGACCAACCTGGGAAGAGAGGAATGAGATCCAAGCAAGAGAGGAAAACGGCTGTAGGTCTAAGCCAGTGTTCCTACATCACAGAAGACGACAAGGATTGATTTAAAGGCATAAAAAACCAAGTGAGACTGAAAGTTCCAAATAATAACACGTAAAATGAGAATAATTAAGGTTAACACAGTCCTAATGGAGATGAAATAGACACCAAATTTAGATTTCGTTAGGTATCACTTCAAAATTGAAGATGTATAATGACATTACATAAGTTAAATCAAAAATCTTAAGTCATCAGCAAGAACAGAGAAAATAATTAAATTCCAATCATTTAAAAATTAGAGACGAATGGTTGGAGAGTGGAAATAACTAAGAGCATGGCATGGTCAATTAACAACACAAAATACAGCGGTGGATCTGACCCAAACGGGTCAGCAACTCTGAGTAAGTGGACCAAAGACAGGAGTTAAAACACAAATTGGACTGGACAAGAGTAGCCAAGTGTTGTTCAGAATACACACAGTGAAAGACTGAGCACCGTGGGCGGCACCTCCCGGATGGAGGGCGAGAGAGGGATCAACAGGAGACGTGCAGAGGACAGGTCAATTGTCCACGAGGTTTCATTTCCTAGGCTGGATGGCAGACACAGGGATATTTGTGTGTTTCATGCCATTTATGTACCTTACATGTTCCATAATTTTATAGTGTGAAGGTACTGGGTTGAAGAGTGTCCCCTCAAAATTAGTATGCACTCAGAACGGGATCCTTGACATAGAATCAAGATCAAGATTACTGGTGTCCTTGTGAGAGGAAAATCTGCATGTGGATACAGAGAGTCCAACACATGTAGGGAAAAAGGGAATCTGATGACCGGGCAGGTTGTGAAGGACACAGCTACAAACCAAGGGACACCAAGCACCTCAAGCAACTCCAAGAAGCTGCGAAGAAATAAGCACTTCTTTCCCTAGAGTTCTCAGAGGGACCATGGCCCTATCAACACCTTGATTTCAGATTTCTGGCTTCCAGAACAGAGTGTCAGTTTCTGCTATTTAAAGCTACCGGGTTTGTGGCAATATGTTATAGCAGCTACAGAAAACTAACGTAATCAACAAAAAATCATGGAATGGAAATGGGTAAAGAAAAGATATAAAGACAAATACTAACCATCAGAGTAGTCATGTTAACATAAGATGAAATAAAGGCAAATAGCTGTGCAGGGATACATACAAAGCTTTTATCACTGCACAATGATAAAGGTAAACCATTCAGCAGGAAGCTATAAGGAATTAGAAACAACATTCACCTAACAACATAGCTTCAAAATACATAGAGCAAAGCCCAGGGAGAAATCCACAAATGTGCAATGATGATGGGGAATATCAACACATTCCTTGGTACTGAACAGATCAGGACAAAAATTTAGTAAAGATACAGAGGAACACACTATAGAATTAACAGGCTTGATCTAATTGACCCTGCACCTGACTCCCTAAGTTTCTGAGGGAGGCAGGAGGGAGGGAGGGAGGAGGGAG